TAAACATAGTGTGTTATGTACCACCTAAGTAAAGCATGCTCATTTCTTTAAAATGCAGTTAATTTCCATAGTAGACAGTGTGTGTGTGCACACAAGAGCTTTGTCACCTCAGTACAGAATCACTAACTGTTACTGCAGGCATTTTTCAACTTGGGGAAAGCAACTTGGCATTTTGATTTAAAATATATATCATTCCAATTGGCTTGGTTTGTTTTGCAGTGACTGCCTTGTGCCTGAAGATGCCATGCTTTTGGCTATCACTTCTTCCACTGTGCTGGTTTGTTCCACAGGTTCTGTTTGGCATTATGATGAAGCCTCAAAGGGAAGTAGTTGCTATCAAGGCTTTGGATAGCAAAAAGCACACTACACAAGTTGGACGTGGAAACCATGCTACAGCTGTGGTGGCTACATCAATGGTGATCAACAGCTGTCCAACATTACTTTATACGGGTTAGAAGCAATCTATGTTACACTGTAGTGAAGACAAGACAGTTGTAGTTTTAACCCATATTAGCTGGTTGAGGTAAACCCCTAAGTAGAGCTACCATGTGTCTTCACTAGAATGTAAAATGGGTTAGTTTAACACATAAAAATACACCTTTCTTCCCCTAGTGAAAACACAGCTTCAGCAGTCTTTAACATGGCTAGACAAGCACTGTGAAAGCCTCAGGCTGTCTCTATGCTACAACTACTTTTTTTTTTTTAATTTATTAAAAGTAGAGGATTGGTCTTCTACAACTGGGGTTCTCAACCTTTTTCTTGCTGAGCCCCCCACCCCACATGCTATAAAAACTGCAGGGCCCAGCAGGGGCCAGGGGGCCGGGACTTTGGGCATAAGGTGTAGTTTGACTTCTATTTCGGGGGGGAGGGCAGAGGCCAGCGCAGCCTGAGCCAGCTATGCATGGTGGGGTCCACAGAGGGATTGCAGCCTCCACCTCCTGATTCACCTCAGGAAGCCACCTAGCCTGTTTGGGTTTTTTTTTTTTTTTTTTCAGGGCGGGGGGGGGGGGGGGAAGGGGAAATGCAACCAAAATAAATCATAACTCAAAAAGGTGGGGGGCTCAGCACTAAAAAGTTTGAAAACAGCTTAGGGTGCAGGGATGGGGTAACTAGGGGCTGTGTGCCAGCCAGGGTGGATTAAAAACAAAACAAAAAACTCACAATGATTTAAAAATAAATAAATACATAAAATCAGATTTTTTTTTATAAAATGCTTTTTGAGGGGAAAAAAGCAATCTAAAGATAGTTTTAATTAAGATTTTTTGAGCTATAATGTATCTCATCATGGAATAGGGATTACTAATTCTATACTATGAAACAATGTTTAAGAAAAGTTTTGTAAATGAGTTCCAATAGTTCATGGATTAGGGACACAATCTTATTGGGGTTCCAGGGGCTTCTGTATAGATTAACCTAAATAATCTTTCTATCTACCCAGTGGGACTCAGTGCTCAGTCTGGAAGATACCATCAGAGATACTTAGTTTTGAGGTTCTCAAACTGTGGATTTGGTGTCTCCAGAGATGACATGCTTGTTAACAGCAAAAATGTTTTTAAATATTTATTTAATTAGAGGTGAGAAACAACAGACCTCAACCCTATTATCCCTCTGCAAATTTGTGTGCAAAGAGTCAATCCCTTACCTTTCTCTAAAAGTGCAAAGTTTCAAAAAGTTCAATGAATAAAAGATTTTTGGGAGTGGAACAGATCTGGACAAGGAGAAGTCTGGAGATAAATGCGAGAAGGGAGGGACAAGCAGTAGAAACAAAAGTGAAACTGTTTGAGCAGCATGTTCCAGAAGTCTTGAGGTCTTTCTGATTTGAGATCTACCATGCCATTCTCACACTAGAAGGAAAAAACAATAATGGCAGCAGGCTGTAAAAGAGACCCAGTTTGGGAATAAGAACCATTCAAGAAATATATGTTTGCTGATGATGTTTTAAAGAAAGTCACACCAGTGAACTGGTGGAAGTCACTTAAGCACTTGGATTCAGAGACTGTTGACATGATAATCTACTTTTAATAGCAGTAGCTTCTTCTGCCAGTGCCGAAAGAATATTTTCTTCCTTTGGACTAATTCACTCCAAATTTGAGAAATTGTTTGGGACCTGAAAAAGCAGGAAAGCTTTTCTCTTTTCCAGATTATGAACAAACAGGAAAATGAAGGTGAAGATGACTGAGTTAGCTGCAGAAGCCAATATTTTAAGTTTCTCATGTTGACCTGGCTGGCATAGTCTATTTAATTTTTTAAAAATATTTTATTTAACTATTAGTTAAAAACAATATTAACAAAAACAAACCTGGTTTTAAAAAACTTGAATGTTTAAATTAAAAAATTCATATGCTTGTTTTGTTAAAATATTATATGTTTGCTGTTGAAGAAAAAAAAATCCAGAATACATAACATTGTTGTTTTAGTTAAAACAAACAATTTAAATGTCTGTCTAGTGATGTTCTCCTCCTAATACAGCATGGCAAGAAAATCCTCCAAATATTTATGATTAACCTGTTGGAAGCAGATATATATATGAAGTCATTGGGAGGTGAACTATCCAATTCAATTGCCTTTGGTAAATGAAATAACCCATCATTTATTTTCTGATATAGCTGTAAAACTAATCTGAAAAGTTTTCAAAATAAATCACTTAAAAAAATGTATAGTGTGTACCTTCTAAAAATGAAACTACATCTATCTCTGAGTTGTGAAGAATGTGTGTGTTAAGGTTATAACAACCAACAAGAATGAACTTTTATGTAGAAATCCATGATTAAATCGAGTCTTCCTGAGTAGTGATTTAAATCATGATTTAAATCCATTTGATTTAAATCAAATCCACCCTGGTGCCAGGAGGGCTCCCCTGTGGTCCTGGTTCCCGGAGAGCTCTGACAGCCACAGACCCAGGTCCCCCCACCCAGGCGGCTCTTACCAGCTGCCTTTGCATGAGCAAAGGGGGCTGGGAGCTGAAGGAGCAGCTTCAACCTCAGGCACCAGGAGACAAAAGGACTCTGTGACTACCTACTCCATGGGACCAGCCAGAGCAGCAGCCGTCCCGCACTCCCTGGCTCCAGCTTCCCTCCTCTGACCTGGTCAGGGGATGGGAAGAGAAAGAGGAGATGAGAGGGGGGTGCAGTTCAGGGGGCAACACCCTCCATGCCTCCCAACTCTGCCCAGGGACTCGGCTTCTGCCCCATGGGGAGCACCAGGGCTCAGGGCTCCAGGATTCAGAACCGCTGTTCCTGGCTTCAGCCCTACGGGGGGCCCCAGGGAACAGGGCTTCAGCCCCACAGGGGATGCTGGGGCTCAAGCTCTGGGTTTCAGCCGCAGGGCCCCACAGCCCTCTTGAAAGGGCTCTCAGACCCCCAGTTGAGAATTGCTGTTCTACAAGCAACAAAACATCTGACCTAGAACCAGAAACCTGCTCCGCACAAACTCTCAAAGTCAATAGGAGCTTTGTGAACACGGGGCCAATTTCTGCCCTCAGTTACCAGACTTACACCAGTGTGTCAATATAGAATAACTCCATTGTCAAAAAACAGTTACTTCACGGTTATACCAAGAATTTGGCGCAGTGAGTGTATATGATTTGGATCATTCTGCTATGGAAACAGTAAGAAATGCTTTCCAGATGAATAGTCTTGACACCCAAGGAGCAACAATAAGGGCTAAATGTTCAGGACAGAATGTTTCCATCTGTTACAGAGAGAACACACTTAACTCTTGAAACAGGAAACAAAGCATTTATGGTATTGGGAGGGGGGGGGAGGGGAGGTAAATTCATTTGAGTCTTATCCTTTCAAGGGTTTGTGTACACCTGACTTTGCCAATTCACCTGAGGAAATGAAGGCTTGACTTGCACTTAAAAGTTAGGTTGACTTAGCTACTTTGGTTGGGTGTATGAAAAATATACACCCGACTGACATAGCTATGCCAACCTAACCCCCTAGTGTAGACACAGCAATGTTGTGGGGAGAATACATCCACTGGCATAGCTACCATTGTTCAGGGAGGTGGTATTCCTACACTGAGGGCATAAACCCTACCATCAGTATAGGCGGGGTCAACATTAAGGAATTATACTGGATATTTATGCCAACATAGTTATGCCACTGTAGTCTCCGTAGTGTTAGAGTATGTCTACACATTAGTAAAGACTAGTTTTGACTGGCAGAAACATTTGGGGAGTGTCCACAAGTGCCATTTCACTCCACATAGAAAATGTAATCTATTAGAAAACCGTGCATAGACATCCCTTCAAATACCTGATTTAAAAATCATAAGATAATCTTTTTGCCTGTATCTATTCCCATGACCGATTTGCAGTAGTAACTCTGCGTTTCGCTAGCATGAATCTTTGCTCACAATCCCTGCAATGGCCATGAGAATACACAGCTGACCTGCTATGCTACTGTAGTGCCGTAGCATAGACATTTCCTATGGCAACGGAAGGGAGTTTTCCCATCATTCTAGGTAATCCACCTCGCTGAGCAGTGGTAGCTAGACTGGTGGAAGCATTCTTTCATCATCCTAGCTGCATCTACACCAAGGGTTAGGTTGGCATACCTCTGGCACTCAGGGGTGTGGATTTTACACACTTAGAAGCAACGCAGCTATGTCAATTTCCATTTTAAGTGTAGATCAGGCCTTAGACAGGTGGGCCATTTAAAAACTCACTAAAAGTGATCTCTGAAGCCGTTAAGTGAGACGCTGGAAATTAAATAGACCTCAAACAATTTGGGTGAAATGTGAGGGCTGTGTATTACAAAGGGACGTAAGTAACGGACAAAGGTGACGTAATCAGTTCACTCCTCAAGACAACTGTCACTGGGTGATTAGACCATTCATTTTATGTTCCATATTTAGTGGCTGAGAATTAAGATGCAGAGTTGTATATTCTCAGACCTTGTTGCAAAACCAATTGTATATACTGAACACATGATGTATATTAGTTGGCTATGTACCAGTGTAATACTATTACATCAAGGAATAATAAAGTGACTCACTTTTTAATGGCAATTAGCTCCCCAGAGTCAACGCTTCTCCCTAGGAGGACGGAGCCATACGTCCCATCACCAAGCTGTTTGATAGTAGTGTATCTATTCATGATGTGGATCCTTTGGCTGCAAATTCATTTCAGTCCTTAGTAAATGCTTCCCTGCAGCTGACGTGTTTCTCCTCTGAGTGTAACCAGTTCTTTCTGTGGCAGCATAAATACAGAGTACTCAGGACTGCATGAATAGCCACAAGAGTCATGTTTTCAAGGCTCAGCCTCTGGTCTGAAATACAGAACACAATCCAGTGGATTTGGATTATTTGCATTTTTCAGAGTTGTCTTGTTTGCAGCCTCCTTTCTTCCCAAAGACATCCGGGAGCACAAACAGGCTTTTTTCCTGGTTGTCCAAAACTAAAAGAGCCAGATTAGGTCTGGCCTTAAATAGGCATGTGCACAAGGAGACCTCCCACTCCTTTACACCCTGCCATCCCAGAAGCCAGCCGCAATTGCAGAGCCTGTAATTAGCATCAGATGTGATGGCAACCCCAATGGGTAGCAATAAGCAACACTACAGTTACCAAAAGCACAGAATGAGTTCTCATGGCCTGGAAATAGCAGCCCCAGCAAGGGAACTGAGCATCTCTAATTATGTGGCAGGGTATCTGTTTTAACAAAATTATTTAGCAAATGGATCGGTAACACAGGTCATATTGCAGTCAGTGCAGAGCTCTGACAAACCACCTTTCCTAACTTTCCAAGATGTCCCTCTGTAGGAGGGGTAGAGTCATACATATCCTTTAAAGGGAAAAGATACTCAAGACAGACAAGACCACATTTATCTCAGGGTTGTTACCCCAGGAATAAGTTTGGCTCTAGGAATACTTTATATACCCAAATTACCTACCAAACCCATCACCCTGACACAGTGCAAATAAAAGAATAATAGAAAATAAAGATCAATAGTGTTTATTAGCTTCTCTAGTCCAACCCCTGCCAATGATTCCTATGCTGAAATCAACTTACCTACAAAAAGGAAGAAAATGTGACCTATACTATGTAAATTCGTCATACCCTTGGAATTAAGCTAAATAGTGGGAACAAGAATCACATCTGCAAGCTTGTCTGTGTTATGGTCAGTTCCATGCCTTCTTACTCCTCTTATTAAGAACTTAATATCATCTGAGCAGAAGAGCAGTGGCTTTTGCCTTTGTAAGCTGTGTGTGTAGTCTGAATTACATGTCAACAGATTTGCTGCAGTACCTTTATGTCCATACATGCTCCCTGTGCTGCCTTAACTGGGAAAACAGATGATGTTTTAGTGATGGAGAGAGCTGCAAATAAATTTCCTGCATCCTCTTTTCCCAATAACAGGACAGGTTGCCCAACCGCTGTCAATGTCACCAGTACATAAAGATATACTCTTGCAATGATGCTGGCATCAACAGCAGTGTGTTACAATAAGTTGGGATGGTCCAACTGAATTAAGATGTTAGCAATTTTTTCCTTTTTTCTTAGCATTTAAGCACTGCCTGAAATAAGCTGCTTCTCCATCCCACTGGGATCTGTAAACCTAATGCACTGATGTGGGAAAGAAATCCTAATGTCAAAACAGCTTTTGTCAGTTTATGTATCATGTACAGAGGAGACAATCACTCTCCCTACCTAGAAGGCACTTATACTCCACGATTCATCAGAATTTGCCTCAAAATCCACACTTTGCTGAACAATTGTGCTGCATCAAAGCTTCCCTTAAACTTTTTTTAAACCTTGAAATGGAAACTAAATACAAACAATGCAGACGGGCTGCACAGCCAGAACCAATTGCCCATTCATCCCAATAGACTACTAACTGAAACCTGAAGATAAGCAATTTACATGTCAGCAGAGTATTTCACTCTATAATTTTAGAAGAAATATCCAGTAAATATGTATAGCTCACAATCCCAGCCTCCCTCAAAGTTGGAAGTGTAAGATAGATTTAAAACAAAATACAAAGAGGGGCTACTGTACGGATTGTATTATTCATTTTTAGGTTTACATTAAATACTATAGGTTTGTCAGTAATTTAAATGAAGTTGCCATAGAATTCCCAGCCTGCCATACCAGAATACTGCAGAATCAAGGGACATTGTCACAGAATGTAGGTCTGTTATGCTTGACAACTTGTCATGGAACATGCAAGACCTGGTCCATAGCAGCAACGGTTTGGGGAGCTTTGGAGTACCACTTGCTTGTTGGCCACTTTATTGGGTAATTGGGTATTCAAGTGTGAAAGTTTTGGCGTAAGTGATTTAAGGAGTCAGTGGCAGACCCAGGATTTTAACTCTAACTCCTTGTTCCCAGACCTGTGATCAGACCTCTCAATATCAAATTTAGACAACAAAGCAAGACTCCTTGTGTTTTTCCATCAATGAAAAGGTAATAAATAATAATGGCACAAGAAATGACTTTGTACAATTTTGAACTGAACACGGAAAAAATGGCAAATCTGGCAGACCTGTAGAATTCTCAGCAAATACTTTCCTCATGAAAGGGGCACAATGCATTAGTCAGGGTCATAATGCATGATGCATTAGTCTACATAATGGAACAAATATTTAACAACAGACTTCAATCCAGCAGACAAACGTATAACAGGAAATGGTGGTTGGAAGCCAAAGCTAGACAAATGCAGACCGGAAATAAGACATACATTTTTAACAGTGAGGGTAATTAACCACTGGAACAATTCTCCACCTCAGGAAAAAAAATTAAATCAAGGTTGGATGTTTTTCTAAAGGATGTGCTCTAGGAATTATTTTGGGGACCTTCTATGGCCTGTGTTATACAGGAGGTCAGACAGATGATCGCAATGATCCCTTCTGGCCTTGGAATCTATGAATCTAAGGCTAGGTCTATGTTACTGGTTCTACAGGAGTCTGTGCCATTGCAGTGCTGTACCACAGATGCTTTCTACAGTAATAGAAGGGGGTTTTTCCACCTCTCGGAGCAGCAGTAGCTAGGTTGACAGAATAATCTACTCTGGGGGTTAGGTCAGCTTAACTATGGAGCTCAGGAGTGTTATTTCTTCATACTCTGAGGGTTTGTCTCCACTTGCCGGTGGATTGACGCTGCAGCGATCAATCCACTGGGGGCCGATTTAGCGGGTCTAGTGAAGACCTGCTAAATTGACGGCCAATCACTCTCCCGTTGACTCCGGTACTCCACTGGAACGAGAAGCGGAAGGTAAGTTGACAGGAGAGTTTCTCCCATCGACCCAGCGTGGTGTAGACACTGCAATAAGTTGACCTAAAGTAGGTTGACTTCGGCTACCTTATTCACATAGCTGGAGTTGTGTAACTTAGGCTGACTTAACCCCATAGTGTAGACCTGTCCTGAGTGACGTAGCTAGGTCAACCTAAATTTTAATTGTAGACCAGGCCTAAGAGCCTTGACACAGTGGAAGTGAATACTCCCAGAGAGGGAGGATCATTCAGCAGAACTGATGCTTCCTCTCCTTTGTGCTCCTGCCCCATCTCTTCCTGCAGAGAAGGAAAAGGTTTTTGGGGCCTAAATCACTATCTGCCTGCCTTTGCTTTTGTTAGGGCTATGGTGTGGTTGACAGCATCCCCATACACCTCTTGCAATAACTTTCAGTTACATGCCTAATGAGCAAGATTAGTTACAAATTTCAAACTATTTGACTAGAAAATTAAGTGAAAAATACATGTTAAAAATCACACCGCTGTGCAAGGAAGTTAATGAGGCTCCACATGACCACAGACGTCCACCCACAGGTTGCTCAATGCGGGATCAGAGCCTAGTTTTGGATGCCAGTTGGAGAGGTTTGGAACCTGAAGTTAACTGGAGTCCTAGGTTCTCTGAACCTTGGAAAAATCTGGCTGTAGGTGTTTCAAGTTCGCTAAACAGGAATTTAAGTACCAAAATTAATGGATGCTTTTGGTCTAACTATTTGGACAGAGAGACACCCACACAGAGGCAATGATCAAGTTGAAAAAAGATGCTGGTTTTGAGTTTTTAAACTTGACCTACCTGGTATTAGTAATGTAGGTATGGTCTTGTGAACATGAAAATATTGAACCCCATTTAATGAAGTCAATTTCTAAGCTGATTTATCTCAACCAGTACAGTTTTCTTGTTGAAGAGGCCTTAGGTTTTTAACCTTGTTCCAGTAATTCCATTTCCTATTCACCATTTATGCTCCGTTTTCACTTTATGGTTCTCTCGGTTTTGATCATGGAGACAGCTTAGCCCCAAATCCTACAGGATGCTCCATGCAGATGGAGTCCTACTGACCTCAATGTGACTTGGCAGTAGTAGCACAAGCATCTGCCTGTGCAGAGCAGCTCTAGTCAGTTTCACTTTTGCTTATAATCTGATTTACTTTCTGGCTGCCATGCAGCAGGTAAAAACTACAGGAAGTTTTTCTGATGTTGAGAGCGGGGGTTTGGGGTTGGCTTGAAATTTAGCAAAATAGTGGTTTTGTTGTAATAATAATAATACTAATAATAATTAATAAAATAAGAGACCAGAGATTCAGTTTTGTAGATTTTTTTTTTTTAAGTCAAAATCTGTAAATTTTGGGCCTAAATCAACAGGCCAGAGTCCCTTAAAACAAACAAACAAAAAAACATTATTGCACATCACCCTGAAAACAAAGCGTTAATTATTACTTACAGGGCATTGTGAACTGAAATTCAGCCCATCTTTTTGTAAACTCAATAAAAATGATTCATTTTTGAGATTTTATTTGCTTAAATACTTATTCCCCTCTAGTGTTTGAAAGAGGAACATTACAGCACTGAGAATCTGAAAGTGAAACTGACTATCAAACAAATTGAAACGGACTTTATTAATTTTCATTGTCAAAAGTTAAGAGAAATGCAACCCCCCCCCCAAACAAACAGTGACAAGTCAATTTTAAAAATTCTTTCAATTGTGATCTAATTTGTTGTTAAGTAATCCCTGCAAAGAAATCTGTTGGTTTAGAATATATTGTTTTAAGTTAACACTGTTTAGCTCTGTATCCGTAAAGCATTTTGAAATATCATATGAAGAACATTATACAAACTAGCTTGAAAGAATCTTTTAAGAATGAAAAGCTCCCATTGACAGTTTCGTAAGTGTTTAAGTATGAGTCACATCCTCTAAACTCATCTTTATGCCTTTTGGCTACCAACAGTAGATAAGCCACAATGCCAAAAACATCCAGCAACTCGTAGGCTCCTCACCCTTACCATCACCCCCACAAGAGGGACAAGGACTGATTCAGAGTGCCATCCTAGAAACATGTATGCAGGTGAGTAATCCCACTGAAATCACTGATTTCAATGGCACTACTCGTTTAAATTTACCCACATGCACAAGTGTTTGGAAGGTCAGGCTGTTAGAAAGAGTAGGGAAATTTTACAAACATGTATGATATTGAGCTAGATTCATGTGATGATGGTATGTATGGATGGATTTCTCTTTTCTGTTTAACAGAAATTACTTCTAAAAAAACCCCTAAAGCAAACAAGACAGTGCTAATGCCTATGACGGAGTTTCACTGTTGTTATTATTTGTTTTTAAACCCTGCAAGGATGGAGGCAATAGCACAGTTTTTATGAAATTCTGGCTCTCTGTAAAGAAGTTTATCTGAAATCTGATAACTAGCAATAGAGCCAGCAGCATCCTAACTAACAGCACTTTCCGTGAACACGCATGCCATTTATTAGTAAAAATAAAAACTAATTTACCTTTGATGAATCCAGCCCATTGTATGGTAATCACTCGGTATTACGCAACTCTAGCAAAAGAATAATTAAACTCCATTATAAGAGTTTTCTGTACTGTTGTCTATACAGAGAACAAATTTAACGTTTGCCTTATGATTTGTGTACGAACAGTCTTAAACATTTTCAAAGCAAAAACAAAAGACAATTTGTATTAATTTAACAGGTCATATTTGTAGGCCACACGGTATGTTCCCCATAGAATAATTTTCATTTACACTTACATAAATGAAGTCATACTAAATCAAAACACCATCTGAAAATCACATGAAAAATGGTTGCTACTAAACAAGAATTTAGTATCTTGAAGTCCCTCCCATGCAGGCCTAGTCAGAAAACTTCTATGTACAGCTCTATTTTAAATGTCACAAGAAATGGCCTAAAATCATTGTGTGGGGAGTGGGGGGTAGACAAATGATGTTAAAGAAACACAATGTAAACACCAATCCAAAGCAGCTGATATTCTCCTTTTAAACCCAGCTATTAGAATCAGGGCAAGATCCACACGACTGTGGTCAGAAAAACAGAGGATTAACCTGATTCTCGGGCGCCTCCAAATCTGTCATCATGTCCAGGGACATTTATGTTACAACCTACTAATAATACTGCTCTAAAAGACAATTTGCAAATGCTCGTAGAGCCCTTAAAAGGGATTTCCAGCAATTTGAAAGTAATAGAACAGCTGTTAAGAGGAGCAGTCAGACAGTTTGTACAACATGCTGTCTACATCTAGGAGAAAACTGCACTAGTAAATCACAACATACACCGTACAAACCCAGCTACAAGAAACCATGCGGCAAGTCCATCTGAGGGAAGCCAAGGCTGATCTAGCTGCCAGAGGATCATTGCACTGAGACCGAGAAGAAAAGAAAAGAAAAGGAGTTTTCCGCTCACCAACCAGGAGAAAAACAAACAAAAGACAATGTGGCTACTAATCAGGGACAACCAGGAGCTTTCCCTGGTGAAAGCTACGCAGTAGCTCCCCTCTCTGGCCTTTCCTTTGCACAGTACTCTCTCTCCACAGCCAAACAGCATGGGATTCATTTACTATATGGACACGGTTAGGTTTTTTTTCATTAAAAACAATCTCCACGTGAGAGAATCTAATAACTTCTTAAGACAAATGTAAGTATAAAAAAACCACAACAAGCTAATGCAAAAAATAAACTTTTTTTGTGTGGATATAGACTAACACAGCTGCTACTCTGAAACCTGTCATTAATAAATTGTTACTGAGCTTACCTTGAGCCAGTAAGTGTAAATATCTTATAAATGACCAGCTAGGCCCTGATCCTACAGCGAGCTGCCTAGAGATTCATCAACACAGAGCAGCTGAGATCAAGGCCTACAAACCGGAAGGGCCTGATCCTTCATTCCTATATAGGGCTGCATTAAGAACTGGGAAGTGGAGGAGAATAATCATAATCAATTGGGCACCGAGTACTTAAGCACCAACACCTTTGCCAGGAGAGGATGTCTTCTCTCTCCCTCTTCCCCCACCCTGATTTATACTTTTTTTTAAAATGGGGAAACAGGCACATGTTTATTCCCCTCCCCCCTACCATACAGGGTAGTATCTGAGTGGGGCTTAAAACTCAGGAATGCTACCTGCTAGCCTTTCAATGTTACCTAACAATATATTCTGCAGTGGAATACATACATTTTAAAAGCCTGACTTTATATAACTCAGTGACATGGAGCAATAGTTAGTTTGAGAAAGCCACTGTGAAATATCTTAATTTGAAAGTGTGATAGAACTTCCAGAAATGTGGTTTAAAGATTTGAGAAGTTAGATTTTATACCAGATACAGATTTCAATAGATCTTGACCTTTGCAGCATTTAACTTTAATTTTTTATTTAAAACAAAAAATGAAGGGTCACATTCTGCCTGCACATAAGCATACATAATTCTTAGTGAAGCCAATAGGAGTAGTGTATGTTTATTGAAGGGAAGAATCTGGCATTAAATCATTATTGTAATGTCTCACATCTATGTATATAAGTGTATGCCCCAGTTTTACAAAATTCTACTAGCCCATTCACACAAGTATATTTTGTGTGGGGGATGATATATGTTCATGATAGTTCTGAAAAGCTGTCATCTGCTCCTCAGTTATCCAAAACTCTCCGCTGTCTAAAACAGGGTCATATCCCCTGAGGTCTATTTATACTTACTCTGAAAATTTCCACAGCTATTAGAAACCTCTGTTATCCAAATTTACTCATTTTGACATTTGGCTAATTGAGGCACCACTACATTTATTATTTTTTAAATAACAGGTGACCTGAAGAGTTTTGCTGAAATTTTTTTAAAGTTCTCAAGAGATAAAATCCATCTAAAGCTTGGCTATTACTAAACATACTTAGCACTAAAAAAAAAATTAGGCCCGGATTCTGCAATTTGTTCCACGTGGATACATCCTGGTGTCCATATGGAGCCCGAGAGAAGTCAGTTGGGCTGTGTGCGGGTATAGGGGTCATCCTGCATGAAAAATGTTACACGATCAGAGCCTTAGAAATAATCTTTAGGCTCTCAGTCATATTCCTACTGAGGACTTTGGAGTTTTGCTGTTGACTTAGAGGGAAGCAGGATAGGATTCTGAGTCAGAGCTAAAGACAAGACTTCCTGTTTTGCCAGCCCTAGTAATGATATAATTAGGTCATTTGGGTTTCAAAGAATTTCCATTGTAAGAAGCAAACTTTTCCCTAAGATGCATTGGTGCAACAAAGGGCAAAATTTAGTCCTAGAACCCTGGATCCTGTTTAAGTCAATGGGAGTTTTGCAATCAATTGCAATTGAAGGATGATCAGGTTCTAAATTCATATTTTCACTTGCTCATAACTTTTTATAACATTTTCCTTTAAAGTGGAAACTTCTCATTCTTATTCTCAGACCACAAATGAAACGGGTTTGGGAGACGTGTGTGTGTAGTGTTTATGCTTGTGTGGTGAACGGATAGTCAATTCTACCTCCCTAAGATTCCCTATGCTACTTAAAGTGGAAGTCCACAAGTCTGCTTGGCCACGATCCTGCATCAGACTCTATTAGAAAACACAGACTCCTGCTCCTGTGCACAATTCAAGAGGAGTTCACATGATCCAGATGTCTGGGCTATCTTATACCAATTTAGGAGTGGGATCCTACACTGTTGAGTAGCATTGTCAGACAGATGCCTATTTCATCCCAGAGATGGCTGCATGTCGGTGGTGGGTGACGCGATTCATATACAATTATAAAGTTTGTTATATCCGTTGGATTCGACTGGTTGAAAATGGTGCTGTATTACTAGGCTATTATACATTATTCTTTGGTCCACACTGAGTAATTCTACGTATGGTCTTCAACAATGCCTGGGTCTGATCTTTGGGCAGGCAGATAATGCACCAGGCTAGCCCCAGCAGAAACACACTGTCATTACAACGTGGATCAGCTAACAGCAACCCCCATCCTTAGCGCCCTACCTGCAGGAGTACATACAACCCGCAGGAACTACAGGTCCCAGCAGCCACTGCTCCCATCTCTAGTTGAATAGCCCATGGGAGACTAAAAGAACAGGAGTACTTGTGGCACCTTATGCTCTAATAAATTTGTTAGTCTCTAAGGTGCCACAACTACTCCTGTTCTTTTTGCGGATACAGACTAACACGGCTGCTACTCTGAAACATGTCTGTGCTTCCTTTCCATTTGATTGGCCTGTTAAAAACAATTTAATTCCCAGAATGCAATGCTTCTCCTCGAGCGGAGTACAGAGACTACATTGCCCAGGAGGCAACGCTCCACCTTGAGCCAAGCGGGGAACCAGGCGGAATGGTGTATTGCATGCTGGGACTTGCAGTCCTCACGGCCGACGCTCCGTAGTTAAACGGCCCGTGCGTCGGGAGGGCGACGCTCTGTCCTTTCTCTCAGTGCTCGTGGGGGTCTGTCTGGGCCAGGGTCTCGGCTGCTCCCGGTCCTCCTGCCCCTCACTCTCCGGGAAGATGGCTGCCGTACGCAGGGCTCGCAGTTACTCCCGCTGCGTGGTGCGCTTCTCCGACCGAGAACTCTGCTAAGTCACCCTGTGGGGACGAGACACGGACCGAGCACGGGGCAAGGACCCCCGGACAGCGCCGCCTGACCGACCGCAGCATGGTGAGCAGCGCCCGGCCCGGCCGTGCCTGCTCCCTGCGGCTGCTGCAGTGCGGGCCCTGGGGCGGGAGGGGGCTGGGGGCAGGGCGCGGGCCCGAGGCGGCTGCTGTCATTGGCTGCCGGAGGGGAGGGGGCGTCCCTGGCAACCGTCAACGGTGGGTGTGCGGGTGTTTACCGCTGGAAGCCCGGCCCTGCTCTCCGCTCCGCTGGGGACCTTCTCCGCGCCGGTGTGGGCCGGGCCCTGCCTTCTCCTGGGGCCGTAACCCCGTGTGTGTGTCTCGGGGGCTAGCGCTGCACTGACCTCGCCCCTCAGCTCCTGGCCCTTGTGGGGTGTGTCCTGGCAGACGAGCTGCCTGGGACCAGACGCACCTGGAGGGGGGAGATCCCAGTGCGAGGTACTGGAGGATAGTGGCGTCGTGGCACCACGTTGTGCCCCAGGACAGCAGTGTGGCATCAGGCTGTTGCGCCTGCCACAAGGCAGCAGAGGAGGGGCCCTGCAAGCCCCGTTTGAAGCAGGCTAGCCCCTGTCCCCCCCACTCATTAGAATTATACGTGGATGTGTACATGACCATATCAATAAAACATTACAGAGACTTTGAAGGCTCAGGGCTGTTTTGAAGAGCCTAGTAGGCCAGGCTTCTCTGCTTGGTGGAGCATTTGCTGCAGAGGTCAAGCCTGCTGGTGGCTTTGTACAAAGCAGTAGATAAAGGGACTGTTGTCCTGAGGGCTGCACCTCCCTGTGAATTTTTAAAACATCAATCATCAGATTATCTAGACACACCTCTACTTTGTACTGATGGTAGCAATCAAAAGATCTCAAAACACTTTACCCCAGCCACTAAGCTTTTATGTTTCTGCAGAACAAAGAAGATTATTTCCCTTTAAGTGGAAACAGATGGATAAGGTTTTATTGTCTTACACTGCTAAAAAGAACCCAAGCACCTGGCTTTTAGTTCTGTGCTTTAACCTCATCTTTGGTTCTACATGAACTTGTGCACATTTCCCATGTGCTTTTCAGCTGGGCATAGTATAGATGCCCTTTGGCTGGATCCGATCTGAGGTCTAGGTGTTTTTGACTGACATCCAAGGAGAGAAAAATATTAGTGCATAACATATCTTATCTGTAAGGAAATATCCTGTGAAAAGTCCTTAATCTTCCCAGAGCTTTTTTGAAGCAGACCTGAATTATAATGCTCATTAGATACATGGAGAAAGGTAAAAATATTAACCAGAGGAAATAATAGGGCAAGGTCAAAGTCAAAGACTTTCTTGGTTCTAAGTCTGTAACATTATAGGTGGAGGAAAAACTTTCTGCCTGTTCTGGTTTGAAGATTAATGATGTCATTTTTGCCTAAAGTCTGTGTAAACCCAAATATGGTATGTTAGCTATGGAAAGATGTGAAGGGTGATTTGTTTTAGAGTAGTTGAGCACATTAACACTTACTCAGGAAGGGAGGCTTACTTTGCACTGTTAATACTGGTTCTGTGAAGGTCTTTGTTCATACCTTGGCTACAATAAAACTTCAGTGGTGTTTCCTCAGTAATTGATAGGCTGCTATATTGTCTCAGAAATGCACTGTATAGTGCTGGTTTGCAGGACAGTGATAACCGAGCTCTGCAAATAACAAGTTTTTGAAATATGGCAACTTCTTTGTAAATAAACGTGAATTAAACTGACCCAGCTGTTTTTAGATTTTGACCTGTACAGCCAGTAACAAATTGACTATGTTTCCCTTTGTGACTGTTTATTTCAGTGTTAAGGGAAATGGAAGATTAATGTAAACTCTGTATGGCTTAGTTATTAGTGCATGTTAAAGTGATTAAAGGTG